GCCTGCCCGGGCGGCCCTGGGCGTGCTGGGCTGGACGGGCACGGGTCACCGAAAGCGGCTTCGGATGGGAAAGCTGTCAACCTTGTCGCCTTTCCAGGGGATTTGCCCGAAATCGCTTGACTCTGTACCCCGAGGCAGGGCTGTATTTCAGGTTACCGTAGTTCTGCTACCGGTTTTAATCAAGCGGCATAACGTTAAAATGGAAGTTTGCCTTTCTTCCTGGAACAAAATAGTCATTGCGAGAAATGGGAGAAAAGCAGATCCACGTTAATATTGCCTGCTAGTGCGTTACAGCCAGATCTCGCTCCGATCATCTGCTCGGTTATGAAAGGCCGAAGTTATATAGGCCTCATCCTAATTTTTCTTTCATTCTAGTATTAAATCCTGTCAGTTTTAATTGGTGGAGCTGGATTTGTGAAGCATTTCTGTCGGAACTGGAATCTCGCATTAAGTGTGCCTGTCCCCAGAACCCATTTGGATGCATTGTAATTAGGAGCTAGTTGTCCTTAGCATCTGTAATAACCCTCTTCACACAAATTCCAAAGCAATTCTCCAACAGTGAGGTGTACAGGAATTTTGTCTCAGTTACAAGTTGTAGGTAAACTTAAACAGCACTGTGACAGCACAGCTAGCAGTATTAGAGGCTTGTCAGCATTTGGCATTATCTCTTAACGTTTGTTTCACAACAGAGTGCCTGCCTCTCCCAAAATTCCAACCAAAGTATTCAAGTTTTACAACATAATTATCTATAATTATATAGAATGGGATGTTTTCCTGATTACTTGACCAAGAATGGCTTTAGTGGGGTTTTTTGTTTGGGTTGTTTTTTTGTTTTTTTTTTTTTGGGGGGGGGGGTGGTGTTGTTACAATTTCATGTCTTAAGAAAGTTCTGTTTTATCTAATAATGTATTGACATGCAATAAATTTTTAAGTTATTAGAATTACAAGCTGAGGGTTGCGTGCAGCTAAGCTTAGAGATAGAAGTACTGCGTTTTGACTTCACAGAAGCACCAAATTTAGAATATCCCCACGCACACACACACCCATTTTTATGTTTGAGAAAAAGCCTTTCCAAGAACCGTCAGATCTGAGAACACTAAAGATAAATACTGTTCTTCAGTGTCAGTCAGGCTCAGTGGGTCCACCTCTTGGTAGTATGACAACCACTATAGGTTGCTTTTTAGCACAAGTTGTGGCTTAGGAATAAACACTTATCATCCTGTAAAATCTTCCTTCTAAAGACTGCTTGCGTTTTCATATTGAGGAATATAGTGCACTTGCTAGGTACAGAAATACTTTATACCATGTCCAAATAGCAAAAAAAAAAAAAAAAATCCTCCAACTTCCCCTCAGATTCCACCCTGCAGAATTCCACAGATAGTCCCATTCATTATTCCAGAAATACTTGAGCAGTGGCTTCAGAATAATGCATTTTAATGTGGAAGTGTTAAGATAACTCCTTCAAACAGATTCTCTGAACAGTAATCAGTGCTCTTTTTGCTCTTATATGGTAATACTGCGACAATGATACTCAAAATACTGGGCAGAAAAATCAATCTGCCATCTGAATTTTAATTTTTAAATTTCTACTAGCTGTAGTGAAATACTACTACTCGCTGAGTAGAAATAATTATTAGTAGAATAACACTATTATTTTAATAATAATTTTAAAAATATACCTCTTCAAAATTCTTATGTTATTCTTGCAGAGATCTTGCTATATAATCCCAAGCAGCATATGATAAAATGGGCTCAGGGTTTTTGTAATGTAGTTTTACACCCTGGAATTGTTCTATTGCATAGCTTTAAAGAATGGTACCAATCAATAAAATGATAATTCAATTGCTTGCACAAGTACTGCAGAATTTTTGGGGGGGCGTATAGGAGAATGGGCATTGCAGTTTGGGTTTGTTTTTTTTTTAATGATGTTGTTTTCTTCCTTACCTCAGTAACTCATTTACATGTTATCAGGAAATAGTGGTTTCTGGAAGGTTTTTTTTTTAAAGTAGAAAAACATTTCAAGTATTTTCAAAATAATATAAATGAATCTTTCTTTTTAGCCTCTTCTGAAGCAGTCGCCCTGGAGCAATCAAAGTAGTGGCTGGAGCACAGGAAATATATCCTGGGGAGGAATGCATGGCAGAGACCATCGGAGAACTGGAAACATGGGAATTCCAGGAACTATGAACCAGATCTCTCCTTTGAAGAAGCCCTTTTCTGGTAATGTCATAGCTCCTCCTAAATTTACTCGCTCCACTCCATCGCTGACACCAAAATCGTGGATTGAAGATAATGTTTTCCGAACTGACAACAACAGTAATACTCTCCTTCCTTTGCAGGTAAGGATGGTATGTAACTGGTGTGTTCATAGTCTTGCATAGCATTTTTGATAACAGCCCTGATACTTGGTTTGAAAATTGTATACTTCTATATTACTTTTACTCCTAAATTGCAACTAACCCAATGTTTTCAGCGTGTTCAGCACTATATGATTCTCACTGTTAGTTAAGAATATTGACTGTCAAGAAAGATAGAAACTGTAGCCACTGATGTTAGCAACAGAGCAAAATATGTTTAATCCAGCAAGTACTTTCTGCCTATGGTAACACTCCTGTTCTTATAAATCCCTTTAAAACTCAGGACTTTTTGTTTGTTTGCTTTTCCTTGTACGTAGCTTTTCTTACTTTTGTAGATGGCTTGGGGTCTTTGTCATGTTCGTCCTTTACTGGTATTCTAGGCTGACATTTGCATATTCGTGAGATTTTTTTTTCCTCCACATTCTAGCAACTTTTATGTTATGTTTTGGCTGGAAGCCCTGTTGTTTAGAAGTGTTAAACAGGAGGATGTGCCTTAGAACTAAAGATTTGGGTTCACCTCCTGAATTTTGCCAGTGACATCTTATGTGACTTTAGGTAAGTCACTTAACTCCAGCCTTGGTTACCTGTTGGCAAAATGTTACTTTTCCCATTCCTGCCTATATTCATTTAGTCATAACATTTCTTCTTAGTGGAGGCCTTCGTTGTTTTGGATCCCAATCTCAGTTGCCATTGTAACAATTTATAGTTTTTGAAGGCTTTTTTTTGTTACTAAAAAAGCTTGGGCAACTTCTTTTAGAAACAATGCATTTTAAAATAGAAAGCAGATTATTCCATTAGTTCTGTGCGTTCTTTAATTTTAGTTAGGCCTGTGTCAGCTTTGGTTTTTGTCTCACACTGAGCTTCTATATTCCAGCAAAACTAAAAAAGATAATTTGCAGAGAAAGTAATTAGAATGTTTCTTTATCTCCACATAAGGCTATTATACCTGTTTTTTTGTTAGGTTTCACACAGAGTAACCTAGAGTTTCATTTGTCATAGTTGTGAGCATAATTGAGTTTGTACAGCTGTATTTGCATCAATTAGCAAGCTAATCCTTATGTAGCTGTAATAGTGGTGAAAGGGTGCTCCCTGGGACCAGATTTCCCACTAGAGTTCCTATTTTTCGTACTATTTTGCTGGTGCAGTTCCATTTGGCACAAGAGGTCATGTCCTGACTCTTTTCAGGTGAGCTCTGATACTTGCAGTATTCTTGAAGCTAATGGTGACTTTTGGACAGAGCTAAATTCTGCTCCAGTGTATGCATTGCACCTGAAAACGTAAGAAGATTTGCCTGTACTGTGAAGACCTGTTCCGTTAAATAGCCTTACTAGCTGGAATATCACAGCTGAATAACTTGTGTGTGGGTGGAAAGATGGGGGAAAAAAGGTGCCATTCTATATGTATTCAACCTGATGTGTTAAGGAAAACAGATTACAGACAGGTAATGCTTTGCAGTGGAGGGCTCCAAGAATAGTTGAAAGTAAACACTGAAATGTCTCCTGAAGATGTTAGCCTAAGCAACAGGGTTAAAAATATTAATGCCATCATATGTTGAAACTGCAGTGACGTATACGTTGGAATTCTTATGCAGCTAAGCACAAGTTGTGAGTATATTTATTCATTCAATGTCCCTTACAGGTCAGTATGACTATTACTTTGAACTTTCAGACGCTTCTACAGCGGTCATCTAATATAGATGAACTCATTTTATGTCTAAACAAAAGTTTTGTGTATTCAAACTATGATCTAAATCATTTCTGCCTAGTAGGGTAGAAGAAAAATCCTTGCAATTTAACTTTATAATAAATTACATTAATGTTTCCGTTTGGGGGTTGTTTCTGGGTCTGTTTTGTTTTGTGGTTTTTTGGTGGTTTTGGTTTTTTTGGTAGTTTGTTTTTTTGTTTTTTGGGGTTTTTTTGAAGAGATGGTGTCAAAGTGAAAAGGTGGGCACACTTAATTGTTGTTGGTCTTACCTGTGAGCACCAGAGCCATCAATTAAATAGACCTGTTTGTCTGGCTATATTTATACTGTAGATCTATCTGTGCTTAAATCTCCCTTACATGTGTAAAGTCAGAGTTGCAGAATACAGTAAATATAATCCTCTTTGAAGGGTTGCAGTGTTATCTACTGCTATTGTGGAAACATTGGATGTTTCCATGTATTATTTTGCTACACTGACAGTGTTCTTATTTTTCAGTTATTATACTACTATTATATGGTTAATTCCTTGTGATGACTGTTACATTTTGCAAGTCATAATGAAAAAGTTAAATAGAGCTTGGAACTCGTGCTTCTTTTCATCAGGACTTGTGTTGGCAACTGCAATGCTGTCAAATACCCATCTTGCTAATTTGTACTCTGCTTGTCTCCTTCCATAAAAGGCTGAGGTATTTAGATTGAGGATTCTTAAAGGTACAGTAGCAATTTCAGAAGATACTCAAAAATAGCAGTAATTAAATTTTGTGCCATTTGGAAATTCGTGCACAAAAGCATTTATGTGTACGTAGAAGTTACCTATTTCTTCCAAGCTTCCACAGAGCAAACGCATCTTAGCGTGCATGTTGAATACATACTGCGTCATTCAAGGTTTTGCAGAATACTTTTTCTGCATGATCACGCATCTTTGTTTTAACTGCAGTAATCATTTTGTATGGCAGGGGACAAAGCACCTCTCCTCCAAAATTTAGCTAGCTCAAGCTTAGCAAATGAAAACAGCTTAGAAAAGCGAGTGTCCTCACTGACTAACTTTCTGTAGATCATTAATGTTCTGGTACCATTTTTTAAAATGCTGTATTTTTCTTTGCTAAGTCCAAATGACATTCATCAGTGTCAGCTGCTCATCCAGTTTCTGTAAAACATGTACCTGATGCAAGCAAGATAAGCCATGGAAGAATCATATACAAATTCAAAGCTTTTCACTTCCATGAAACTTATTTAATCTTTGGTGTTTGCATTGATGGATGGTCCCCAGTATAGAACTGACATAAATTCTGATGAAAATAATGTTTCTTGGCATTAAACTAATACACCAGTGACAATGAATGTCATTACTGATAGCTGAATAAGTAATTATGTGTATTACTTAAAGGGATGGAAGCAAATCGTCTGTACTTCATAGTTAAAACTGAAACATACCCCACATGAAGTTGAATTCACAGTGGCCACATTAGTTACAGCAAAGCTGCTCTTGCTTACAGCAGTTAAGATGGACGTCTCGCAGGGGAATTTTCCAAAGTTCAAGAGTTTTTGTTTTGTTTTTAAATAAAAGTAGTTAAACATTATGGCAACACTGATTTAGATGTGAGCAAATAAGCCAGTAGCCAAATTTTTCTTATGTGACTCATTGTAAGAAACTTTTTTTTTCTCCCTCAGGTTTTTAAGATAACATAAACTACATCAATTAAAGTTTTTTCATAGACAAAATTATGTCTACAAGTTTAAGTTCTGCCATGCTGCTTGCACCATTACAGGTACTTCATATACGGAAGGGATTGTTGCCTTGTACAGGAATCATTAAGGAACAATTAGAAATCTTGTCAGGTTTTCACACCATCTAACAAGCATTTAATTGAGGAGCCTATTCCTCTCTCCTTAGAGAGAATCTAGGCTCCTTATTTAGGTAATCTGATTCTCTAGGGGAACATACCTGGCACCACTGACCATATACAGCCCCTGGGATTCAGGTTTAGGCACTTACGTTGCATGTCAAGAAGCTAGACAATATGAATATTCTCTTTTATTCCCTGATCTAAAGTACAAAAAACTCCCGAATATAGGGTGCAAAGCTAAAAATATATTTCTAACCCCAGATACTGTTTTTTTCCCAAAAAAAACATGGTTTAGGAATTTCTGTGGCAAAAAGACAAGCACAGAAATCAGTATTTTGTATACTCATATTTTTCATTTACATTGCTTGCATGAGGGAAATAATTAACCACTTCTAATTTTTTTTTTAAATTGCAATGTCTGCTAACCCTATTTTGATTGCAAGCTTAATGTTTCTTAATATCTTGCAAATAAGCTTACTAAAACTTATTACAATAATTTAATAATACACTTCAGTGTTACACACTTCAGTGTTTAACTATTTTCATTCTAGTAAAAACAATGCATTCTATGAATATGAATGTAGTTTCTGTGTCTCTTGAGTTAAGGAAACACACTGCATGTTTGAGTGTGTTTCACCTTGATTCGTCCTTCCTGTTTGTTCAAACAAACAGTAAGTGCAATGTTCATGGTCCTAAAAGCTGAGCTTTATTTTTCTACGTTTGAATATAGCTGTCCAGATGGGGATTTCTATGGTAAGGTGCCATCTCTCACAAATGCAGATTTTTCTTCTATTTGTTCTTGAAATGTGCTAAAGTTTTCAAAGAAAACAACACTTGCAAACCAAAGTGAGTTTTAAGATTGTACTTTGCAACAGGCATTATTTTTAGATACTTAATTTAAACTGCTGTCATGTTGCTTCTGTTTTACAATCACTTCCATTTAGGGGATTTCAGATTGTCAATATGACAGTTTTAGTACCATTTAATACATGTACCTTAACAGTTTAAATGACTAATCTAGATGATACACTTACGAGTCAGTACTAGGTGAAGAGCAAGTTGCTGAAGTTGGGTTCTTAATGACATATTTAGACTCCTAAATAGGTGGCCCATTTCTTCAGAAGTGCTGAGTGTTTGGCAGCTCATGTCAAACCTGAAGGCACTGGGAGTATCTAGCTGCTAAGTTCTCTTAGCCTTCAGACTAGTGCAATTGTCCAAACACTGATTTATAAGCCAGGTTTTACCAGTTAATTTTTACTAAGGCAATACCTGCAACAGAACAGTGTCTTCAGGATTTTTAATGCAGTAGATTGATTACCTGGGGCAAAACCAGGTAGTTGTGTCTCAGGACCATACTGGGGATATCTCTTAACTGGAGAAAATGGTCTACTGCCATACTTTTAACTTCAGGATCAAGACCTTTGAATAAATAGTATTGAGAGCTGCACAGTTGAACGAGTCAAAGGAATCATTTAGCTGAAAGTTTGTGGGGCTTACCATACGAATGGTTTTATGACTTTTCATGAACCAAGAGTTCTCTCCTACTGTTAAAATTTGCTTCTGTTATACAGCTTGTTCTATTCATGCAAGTCAAAGTCAGAGTTAGGAAAATTCAACAAAATATTTAGCAGCCATGATGGCATACCAATGATGTATATGCTAAGTAGCATATCTCACCTCATTTTGTCTGCCAGATCACAGTTGTTCTCTAAAGTTAAAATGAATACATTCTCACCTAACATCTATTCAAAGGTACATTTACCATATGGTCTGATGTATTTGCATTTAAGTACTCGAGCCTGTATAAATATTTCTAGATGGCAGGGGGGAGGGGGTGGAGTAGTAAGGAGGGTAGAAAAGACCAAAAAAACCAAAAAGAACCCAAAACTTGAATAACAACTTCCCCTTCAAATGTCTAATTGTTCCTTTAGTTATTTTGTTGAAGCTATTCATATACAAATCTTCTAGACTTGCCTCGTAAGTCAACCTTGCCAAGACTTTAATCATCTCCATAATGTTTCTGGTTTGTTTCCAGTTTATTAGTGTTTATTGTTGAGCTGAAGTACTCCAGTATGGATGCAGTACATGCTGTTGGGATTTTTTTGTTTATTTTTAAATGCTTATGTAGCTGGGATGTAGGTGTGCCTTTGCCACAGGACCTGTTCTTGGTGCATTTTAGGCTCAATTTAGCTAGTTTACAGAGCTGATTGTGTCGTTTTAACTTTAAAACACTTTTGTCAGGCTGGCCATTCACAGATGTCTACCAGATATTATAGTTCATCTTTACCACTAATGACACTGTGGAAAGTAACCAAGCAATTTCATGTGTCTACTTTAAGCCTTCCTCCTTGCTTTTTTATAGAGCTAAAATTGTAGTTAACTCAAAGGTTTTCATATTAAGTTTCTCATTTACACTAGTTATGGTTTCAACAAGGGGCTTATGATTATAGTATGTCTTCACTAAAATGAGAATGACTTGAAGTTTAGATGTTAGCAAAGATGGTATTTTAGAATATATAATGTACTTAATTGTTAGGTTATTACTGCTAACATTAACACTGAATACTATATTCAGGTACTTCTTAAAGTCTGAATATTATTAAATCAGCTGTCACTTTCTAGTCTTAGAACACATTTTTATTCAGGTCAGTTTAAAGGTGAAAAAAATGGAACTTGTTAACATTTTAGTTTGGGAAGTGATTTTTAAAGAAAAGCTTCTTTAATTGAGCTTTTAAAAAAAATATGGTTAATTCAGCAAGGTCAAAGCTACAGTCTTTTTTGCAGCTAGCTAATACCATACTCAAAACTGACTGGGAGCTTTGTGACTTTTAAGTTGTTTCCGGCTGCCATTGGATGGTGCTACGTTTTTTTAGAATATGAAGGGATGTGTAAAGGAGAATATTTTAAAGATACTTGCATTTACTGAATTTAATACCTATGTTAGAAGTCTAATTTTTTTTACTGCAAGTAGTCCTGCAGATCAGTAGTTTAGAGCATGTGTCCAAAAATCTAAGTTGTTTAGCTTCTTAACTATGAACATCTATTTTTAGTGTTTGAGGTTTAAAGATTAGCAAAATTGTATTCCCCATTTAATAGTTTCTGCCCTTGTATTTGCTTTATGAGTAAATGACAGCCTTGAGATGTGACTGTACTGAGTTTCTGCAAATGCTCAAACAGGATAATCTTTGCATAAATTTCATGCATATATTTAGAAGTCCTAAATACATTGTGCTAAGAAAAATCATTTGTCCAATAATTTAGTGCTGAAACTTGCTTTTCAGAGAAAGCTGCCCTCCTCCCATTCATCCCACATTTAGACGTGGAAATGCGCAGTCTGTAGATGCATTTTGCATGACGTTGTCAAAAAGTCCTTCTAGTACTAACTGTATTCTATGGGTGGGATACTTCATGCTTCTCCTATATTGTGTGAATTTGTGAAAATGCAGAAATAATTATCACTTTTCTGTAAACTTTCTTACATAGTCTTAAGTGACAAACTGTCACTTAGCCATATACCTCTGAATCTGTAGGCAGTTATACCAAAAACACATTTTCAATTCTGCTGTGTACAAATGCAGATGTGATTCTGGTATTGGAAAGGTAGGTCAAGCAGGATTCAAATGTTTATGCAGTTAAAAAGAAATAAAAAGCTAGTGTGAGAATTCATAGTGCTTGGGAGAAGTTAACTATTAGCTCTGGGGAAAAAATAGCATTACATTGTGACATTCCACTGAGATATGGACCTTCTGACACAGCAAGAGTTCACTTGCTTCTTAGCACGGAACTGATGAGCCAAAGAGGTGAGGGAAATGCAAAATATTTTGCAGGAATTCAGCTTTGACAAAAGGGTCTTTTGGAGTCAGGATGTTACAAAACTTGTATTAACATACGTGCTTATGTATCAATGCCTTTGTACTACTGATTATCTTCAGTTTCATTATTTCAACACGGTTGATAAGCAGCTATCTTCTAAAATATCCTGGAACTACCTTGAAAACAACATGGAAATAGTTCTAATACTTGGGGCTATTTCCATGTTGTTTTAAAAGTAGTTCCAGGATATTTTAGAAGATAACTGCGTATCAACCGTGTTGAAATAATGAAACTGAAGATAGTCCCAAGAACTAAGGACTATTTCCATGTGCATGGAAAACTATCTAAACCAGTTATGTTCAGGGGTAGTACTTTTCATGCTTGTCCCAAAGATCAAGGAAAATCACGGTGGAAGCTTTCTGATTGAGTAAAGCATGCTGTAATAGAACTGTTCCCTTCCACAGCGTTGTGGATTTTTTTCTACAGCAGAACTTTCTAGAAAATCCTTGATGATATGACCTGCATTACTGAAATACTTTTAAGTTCTGCTTTGAAATGAAAGCTTCGTATTTGCATAGATGATAACTTCTTTAAAGATACGATGTTCATGTTTGGTGAGCACAAAGCAGTGTTTTAGCGTTATAAGTCCTAGTTGCACAAAGATTTAAAATGAACCTTGTACCCAAAGAATTACTTTGAGATAGTTAAATTTCACATAGTGTTGCTTTATAGTATGTAGTTTGTCAGTGTGAATTGGACTAGATGTTAAAAGTTTGAAGCAGTGATTACCTAGATATTACCCAAACTCACAAGAGGATAGTGTGGTATGGGTAGTGAGACAGCAGAATACAATTCCCATATTTAAATTCTGCTTTACTTCAGTGTACTCATAACATTTTTGTATTGTACGGTGCATGCCTATTGTGCATTTCCACTGCCAGAAATGAAGTAATACAATTCAAAGAAACAAACCAACCTCTTTTTATTTTTATAGACATAACTTTCTAAGGTGTAAAGAGGATGGGAAAAGTTTGTTTCTTCTGCTTCCAGCAGCGCAAGACCTTTCACTTTGGATACACAAAACTTGCAAAATAGAATGATGCAAGGGTGAAGTTACAATCATTGCACCATGTCAGCCAGTGGAGCAGTTTACAAATGAGTTGCAAACACACGTTAAATGTTTTACTTTTCCATTTCTCTGTAAGATCCATGACGAAGTGGGCTAGTATTAGAAATTAATCATGATGGAGCCCTTTCTTACAAGCTTCTGCTCTCCAGAGCAAAGTTAAGCCTACAGTGATGACCATTTGCCAGATAGCCATGTGTTATCTCAACATATATATAGATATAGCAATAATCAAAAAATAAGAAAATCTTATTTAGTGAGCCTATAATAAAGATAGTGTCACACATACAGTTCAGTTTTTACCAATACTAGTTCTTTTCCCCTACCAGCTACAGAAGTAGCAAAGCATGTTTTCTGTTTACTCAGCGTTGGTTTTTGCAAGAGTACTTACTACCTACCAAGTACTGACTTCAGCTGAATTTAAGACTTCTTTAAAAATCCTGACGAGATGCTTTCTGAATGCTAGGGGACAGTAGGGAACAATTCCAGCTTTGTCACTGCTCACACCTTTTATAGAAAGCAAGCTTGCTGTGGTAAGCAGGTTCTTTTCATTGTGCTATTGAGAAACAAACCTGCAAGGGCATGGAGGCAGGTTAGTCACTTCAGTTTCATTCTGCTGCTTCTCAGGACAGCTAGAGAACTGAATGAAAGCCAACCAGTCCCAAAATACGGTTGCTGTGAAATAAAACAGTACTGGCAATTTGTTGGCACTCAAACTGGGTTGAAGATCACCTCGCAAAGTGTCAGCAGCATTTGGTCTTGGACATGGCAGGAGACAACAGAAACCTACTTTTTTAATTTATCATTAAAATTATCTAAAGGCTTCCAAAAAAAAAAAAAAAAAGGATCCGATCAAATTAACATAGGAGATTGTTTGCCCAACAGGAAGCCATTACTCTTTGTAATTACTTGAGGGAGAGGGAGCTGGAAAAAAGGCTTCTCCTGCTTCATCCAATGTTGTATCAGGTTGACTAAACTTTCTAAGAAAGATGGAAGTAAAATCTTAGTTTCATCATGGCTTGTTTTGCAAAGGTATTGATAAGTCATGGTTTCTGACTCAGGGAAAACCTCTGTTTCAGTATTCTGCTGAACTGTCATGGGAAGCTACAGTGAGTGTGGGTCAGATACCTTCTGTCCCACTGTACATCTGTGAAGCGGATGGCTGCATCTTCGGTGAATTTTAATGGTCATGGGATGCGTGTGGTGTATTTCATCCTAATACAGTGCAACCAGAGAGTAGACAACAGTAAAATTAAGGCACGATTACAGGATTCCTTTAAGTGCAATACAGTCAAGCCAGAAGACTTGAAGTAGGAGAGGTTAAGGTTTTACACAAACTATTTTCAGTCTCTGAAGGTATCCCAGAAAGACCAAAGAAGTTAGAAGTCGTCTTTTTTGCTGTCTTCGTAACTTGGGTGTGTTAGAAAAACATGTGAGAAAATGTCACAGTTGAGCATAAAATCAGTGAAAAAGTTTATGGTTTATTACAATAACTTTTATTATCTTCAGTGAAAATATTTGTAAGGCATTATAGTAATTCTTACTAATCTTCATGTGCAAAAAAATTGTTCTCTATAAGGCTGATAATCTGTTAGTAAGCATTGTGACATTTTCTTTTCATAGTTTAGCTTTAATTTTCCAACCTTTAACCATTTAGTCCTGACTGACTGTAACGCAAGTCTTTGTATGTGAAGGGTTTAACATTAATCACCCAGAAGCCAGGAAGCGCAGTCTCAGCAGGGGGCTGAGGGCCCATGTGAGGTACTCAGCCAAGCACCAACAAAATGCTTTTTTCCTAAGAGGTGACTGTCCTTCTTGTCCTGTAGCTGCCCACCTTACTCACTATTTAACTTCTGCATGAAATGAAATTGAGCTCTTGCAGACGTTAGTCTCCTTCATTAAACAGCCTAATGCTTAAATCTGCTGTGGATCACTGGAACTGATTCAAGCAGTTCTTCTGGAGGAAACGGGCAATCACAGGCTGGTGCATACACAGAAGAGTTCTGCACAGTGCATCTCTAGTTTTATATGTAGATGCTGTTAAACTTACTGTTAAAAATCAGGTCTTACTGTTAATAAATTCACGTATCGTAAGCTTTTGTATCACTGTCCATCTCCAGCGTGTCTGAGCGTACAGAAGGCACCTTTGTCTTCCTATCAAGTTTCCTGTTAAAAAGTACAGAATTTGTATTCCAATACTAAGGATTTTGTTCTCTTTTAGGATCGAAATAGAATGTATGACAGTCTGAATATGCACTCTTTGGAAAACTCCCTTATTGACATTATGAGAGCAGAGCATGATCCACTTAAAGGTATGTTATTATGCTAAATAAAGAAAAAAGGGTCATCCATTCTGCATATCTGAATTAATACTGATTGCTAATTTAGATTCTAGGGTCATATTAAAATAGAAAATGAATTATTTTCTCAACTAACATGAAAGGTCAATCTCAAACTGTATTTTATTGAAAACATTGGTTTACAGTTGTTTAAAACTTAACTTAAGCTTTAGTGGTTTCATAAGTTTTTCTTCCTCTCCCCTCCATCCTTCCCTCCTTTACCCCAAGAAGTTCATAGTTTTATTTGGAATTCACTTGTCTGCTGTAGGAAATTCTGCCTCAGTTTGTAAAGACACTGTTCTGTTACAGGTAGCCAAAAGAGGGTGGGAGGGGAATCAAACCGCTACCAGTGTTAGCCAGTTAATTTTGCTTTCTTGCAGTAGAAGATGAAAAGAAAATTAAGTCCTCTGATAAATTCAGGTTTTGTCCTTTCAAATATTTTTTCAAAGCCCCTGGAGGATAATAATGTATCTAATTGTCCAGTTCCTGTTTGTCTGAAGAAGTCCAGAAATACTTGGCTTTAGAATGCTGGTTCCTCTTCTCCTTTTGGGCTTTGTTCAAATCTTTTGGCCACAGCAGTAAGCGTATAGCTAATATTTGTGGTCTTCAGTTTTAACTCCTTTATTCAGTGTGCAGTAACTCACTCTTTGGAATTCTGTTTTTCCACACTTATTCTCAGGTGGAGTTTACCATTGAACTTTGGGGCAGGAAGCTCAAGCCATTTTATTTGTCCTGATCAAATGTTATTTCATTTGTGGTGTTATAATTAGACTAACACAGTGTAACTTCAACATTATCCAAGACTTCAGCCTTGCTTTGCAGAAATTAAGTCTTGGTATTGAAGCGATTGAAAAAATAATTTAAAAAAATTCTTTCTTTTTATATCATTGTTTATTCCCATCCATTCTCTGTTTCTACATGCTCCTAGACCTAATGCATATTACATGATCACATAAGGGCCTGTGTTCTCCTAATCTGAAAGATACTTTGCTGGAGTCTGCTTATGGTTCTCTTAAGATCTGTAATCAATTGGAAGACCTGTAGTATTCAGATAGCACATAATAGTATTGTAAGATTTACAATTTAAAGCCAAAAGTTTGGGTTGGTTTGGGTTTTTTTCAAGCTGAAAAATCTCTACAAAGCATTAGTAAGTAGGTAGCATTTAGTTAGTCAGTTAATTTTGCTCCTCTTTAGAGTGGAAGCTGAAATTAAATTGTCTTAGATCTTCTTAAATCTGATCTCTTAGTTCTTACTGCCTACAGAGAATTAAGTCCAGTTTTAACATTTTTTTTCATTTAAGTTCATTATGAAATTCAGTTTCTGTCTATTCTGCATGTTTATGAGACATTGCTAAGTAACACAAAGGGGTTGAAACCTGTGAACAGTTAGCCCGGTGGTAACTGCTGTGGACTAAAAGCATGCATATGTCATCAAAGACAAGGTAACTAGTTAGATCATCCCTGTTTCAAAGCATTGTTGCTTCAATTTGCCACACTCAGGTGGTGACTAGTATTTCTTTGGTTATCTGAACCAAAATCTACCTCCAGGAAGGTTATTAAAAGATAAAGCTACAGTTAGGTATAAAATTAGAGAATGCAGATCTTCTATTGCAATATACTGTCATAGGCACCGCTCACACTCCTGAAAACCAGTCGGTTTCTTCACTTTTTTCTGTGCACGCTGACGTGACAGATGGAAGTGGTTGCTCTGTTCCCCCTTCCATCTCGCTGTTTTCATTTTGGCTTTATAATGCAGAAGAGTTTTCAGAGGCACAGTGAGCACAGAAAAGACCCATTTTTATTCATCTCTTCATATTTCATTATGATACAATACATTAAAATTATGTGTTTCCAATCATAATTTTTCAACGAGAGTAAGACAAGACAAAGCTTTAAGATTTTAAAGTGAATTGGGTTCATACGTAGACACTTTTGAAAAACTCAGTAATGTTTCCATAGTTATTCTGTGCTTTCCAGGGACATGAGTGTATGGTTTCAGTCTACAGTTAGATTTTTTTTCCTTTTAAACAGTTTCACCATCATACTCTTGCAGGGAAAATTCTGCTAAGTTTTATGTTTGAACTAAAACAGATGGAAGCCATAGATAGTGATGAATTCAAAGGAAATCCATTTTTTTGTTCGAGTGCCAGAGAACAATGCACACGCCAACTGAATTTAGAGTAATTGTGTGCTGTTATTTAAATTGGTTGATTAAGATATTTTTTTCTCTTTGGAAGTTATTATTTCAGCTGAAACAGCTACATTATTAACTGTAAGACCCGAGAAATGTTCCTTACTGACTGAAAATGGGAAGAATAGATCACATTCTAGAATAGCCTTTTAGTTTCTTTCTACCCTGCTTCTGTTTAGTCAACATTAGTTGGCATTTCTGTAATCTCCTAGCAACTTTAACTTTTTTTTTTTCTGCAGACCATGAAACACTAATTTTGTTATTTCAGCCTCTGTGGCTTTTCTTTTCACCGCAGATGATCTGACATTTACTTAAGAACCCATCGTATTTGCTTGCAGAATGCATGGGATTAAGAATATTATTGTTATTTATTTGTTGTTCTTATTAATATATAATCTACTCTGTTGTAACTAAAGAATATTTTGTAACTAGAGAATATTTTTATGACAAGTTAAGAACTTGTAAATCTAAGCACACTAAAACAATGCATCTTTTATATCTGACCACAGCAGTAAAATGAAAGTCCCTGGAATTTTAAGCACGTGTTTCAGATTTAGCTGCTTACAATATCTGGAGTATGACTAAGCATCTTGTCTCAGATTTTGCACAATGCAGAACAGACACTGTGTGTACTAGCTCACAGCTTTAAGTTTTGCATTTCAAGATCCATTTTAGAAGGAAGTCAAATTTCACCACTTTTGCTTTCATGAACTTGAAAAGACTTTATTTCAGATGTGATTCACTGAAAGCTAGGTTTATGCCTGCCAGAAAATTGTTTATAGATGCATACTTTTGGCTCCCCTTAGACAAAGTTTAGTCATTACTACAGACATGATCAAAAGAAAGAAGTCATTTTTAGCTTTCAATAAGACATTTTTTCAAGGTAGGTTAATAGGGAATAGACGCTTGACTTCACTAGTCATTGCAGAAGAAATACTGATCATATTGAAACTAATCTTTCCCATGCAGCTTTCTTGAAATGCAGTTCATAAGAAGATATTAAGAAGTGTTTAAGATTACCCCAGCCAATCAATGGAATATAAACTGAAGTAAAAATTAATGAAAGTTAAAATAAATTCATTCATTTTTATATCATTATTATTAAATACCCTTTTTATTCTTCTAATAGCCCTTAAAGCTACAATATTGACAGCCTGAAATACATGGGTATTGGCAGTATCTTTTCCAGACATACCTCCTGTGTACTTGCATTTTTTTTCCCTTCTCCTCCCCCAACTACCAATGCTTCTTGAGGTCAAGATGTAGAAAATGTGTATTCTAGACGTATCAGAAACAGGAAAGCCAATATATTTGGGCCAAAACAGATTATGGAAAAAAAAAAGAAATTGTTATATTTTGCATGGAATAGGTATCAGAATTGAGGAGCAGGTGATTTAATGGAATTTATTATCTACTGTTTTAAACACCTTCCTAGTAAAAACTATGGTATTTTCCATGTAATTTAAGAGCTTGTCTTTTGTAAGGCAAGAATATTGATGTTGTGCTCAATTACAATTCTTTTCTGTTTCCTGCCCAGCTTTCTTACAGCTCTGCAAGCTTAATACTGAAATTGAATTAGCCATAGTTACATTAGCAGGAGTAACAAGAAGGAATATTAACTTCATGTTGAATTTTTCTTCTGTTTCTTTGTGATGGGCAAACCAAATTTTTTAGGAAAGTTACACAAATACATTTTTGTATAGCTAGTAATGAATAATAAAAGTAAAGTGCTATTATTTGGCTTATCTGTGGGGGGAAATAACTTGATGCACTTAGAAGCCTGTCTTGCTTTTTCTTGCTTTTATTTTCTCTTTAAATTGGTTTAGTTGAGCTTTTCAGCTGTTAGACATGTTTCTTTTAAAAGCAACCTGCTGGCACGTGCTCAGTGAAGTAAAAAGAAACGCATTGGTGACTCAGCAACGCAGTAGAGAACATTTTCTTTCTTTGCATATGGGAACCTTTGTTTTCAAAGAAACTCATTTTATATTTTGTGTTATGAAGCTCTAAGATTTAAAGTTAGGCAATTGCTTCCTAGAGTAATTCAAATTACACTCAGAAAGGAGTTTCTGAGGGTGAACAAAAAAGTATGGAAGGAAAAGCGTTACTCATAGTCATATAAAAGGCTTTGAAATTGTACATGTAGATTGTTTCCTCTTTCTGTCATAGAAGCTTTTTATGATAAAAGAATATATTTAAGACTGATTTGCTTACCTAGATTGACTGTCAGAGACAACACATTTGGCCTCATTATGACTTACATAATTCTTACACAAGCATTTGGTGGTATAGAGTCTAGGCTTTCTGTAGCTAGGTGTTGTCCAAACATGGTTTTGTGCTGTTGTCTTAACTATGCGGATTCAAAAAACCAGCTTTCTGAAACTGCTGCAATCCTCAGCCATTCATTGATCTGTTAAAAGTAGTTTGGGAAAAGCTTAAGTTGAAGCTTTTTCTCTTCTAGTCAGGAGATCTCTTGAAAAAAAGGAAGAGAGAAAAGGAATTTGTGATTCTCAGTCTCTTCCTTCAACCACTTAAGACTTAAAAAAAAAGGGGGGGGGTGTCTGTGGGAATAGACTTGAAATATCAAACTTGTGAAACTGTGAGTCAGCAATGTTTGAACTGGTCTTTATACTTAAATCTACCCAAATGTTTTAATATTTGGGGATTCCTCCAACAGTTTAGTTAAATAGGAATAGAAAGTATGCATTTCCAAAAGTAGATACGAATTTGCCTTAAAATGAAGAGTGAATAAGAACAGCTACATCTGTATGCTCACAAGCAGCTTAAAAAAAATTAAATTTCCATTGCCCATATTAGTAACGTGAGATTACAGAAATGTATCTAAAATTAAAAGTTTGTTACTCTTTCCTCATGGTTTGGATTAGCAAGACTTTTAACTGGATTTAGTGGATAAATTGGCCCACCAAAATTTATCTGCAAGCTTTTTATTTTTTTCTGTCCTTACAGAAGAATACATTGTGAGAAATTCATACCAGGCAGTTCTGTTAACTTTAATCACGTTTAGATATGGAAGAGGGGGCTAAATTTAATATAACTCCAGTTGCATAAGAAATGTCAAACATACCTGCTTCTTCTTAGCCATACTATTTTGAATTTAGCCATGAAACATGAGAATTATTAATTAGTGGTAACGTAATGAAGTTTCAAGTTCAGGTTTGCACAGAGAAAAATTCTGTAACATAATGCTTATGATACAGAACTGTAATATTAGGCATTGTATTTGTTCCAGGTAGCAGCACGTAACTAAATTTGTATGCTGTAGAGCTAAGTTCTGTAGACAGTCAGTGATTGCTTTTAATTTCTCGTGAATGGAGTATGTCTATTATTTAAATATTAGATATTCTCTAACTAATTGGTAGTTGATTTTAAACTAGTAAAGCATCATTATATATTATTAAAATTATTTTTTTAAGCAGGTGGAGGCCACTGAAATTGCTAGAATATCTATTGAATAGTTCATACAATTCTAGATTACTGACATTGAAGTAGGATGGGATTAGATAGGATTTGTGGTGAGGGCAGTTCTTAAAATGATACCTTTTTTTTCCTTTAAAATGCATCGAACAACATGCAGTAAAAATAGCAGTCTAGAAAGAAGTATGTGATAGAAGCAAAGTAAAGTGTTATAAGATGGAGCTCCCATCTTCTGTATTTTATATACTGATATTTTAAGTGAGGTTTAATATTACATATGTCCATTTAACTAAAATAATCTGTTAAAAAGTAGTGTAATCTGACCTCTGTATAAGACTGATCTTGCACCCTGTTCCATGCATGAAGTCTTCTGAATATATGTATTTCATTAAATTCAGGTGGGCACACTAGAAACACTGCATTTTGCTTCAGCACATTAATCTGTGGGATAAGAACCTAAGTTAATGGATCAAATAGCAGTGATTGTATTTTGAGGAAGCAAGCAAACCACCTATGTAAAAAATGTTTCTAAGGTTGTAAGCCCAACTACTAAACAAGTTAGGACGCACAAGTATTAACCTCACCAGAATGCAATAATACAAAGTATGATTTCATTGAAATAACAATGTAAGTAAGAGTTAAAAGAAGTGTCAGTACAGCTGTACATGTACTGAATACTGTGTTACTCATTTTCCTTTCTAACCCTCAAATCATTCATTATCTGAGCTAGCAAATTCATCTCCGTAACGCAGCAAGATTGGGTTTCTTTGCGTTTGTGTGATTCATGGGTTTTACGCTGCAGTAGTGGGCCCAGCTCCCTGGTGCGCTCTCTCCCTGCTACTTAATGAGGAGTGCTTTATTATTTCAACTTTTTCTTCAGCACCCATGTTTAAGATGCAGCTTAGTTGTGAAGCTATAGGGGAAAAAAATTGCAAAAGCAGAGTTGTAAACCCAGATTTTACGATCTTCTAAAACAGTTTTCCTTTCCAGGTGTTTACTCTGGTGGGCTTCTCTCTCCTGCTAGGCCTTAAATCTTAAATCTAGGCCTCTTTTTCTGTACTAATTACAGAAAAAAATGTATCTTTTGTCTCCCTTGCTGAATAGGAAAAGAAGATAAATATATACAGACAGGGAGAACAACTGTCACCACAGACTCGAGGAGGTTCAGGATGAGATAATGGTTTCTCACAATTTCTATTGTTAATTCTAGATAGATACAGCATTCTGATTTGCAAGAAACAGCTCATATTGTTGCACATATTTCTATTGCACTGTATATAAACATGATGATGACAGTAAATAACCTTGTAAAATCCTTGCTGTTAGCCAAATGTGTATTACCTTTATAGACCAAAGAACTAAGAAGTAAAGCAAAGTGACTTGTTATACACCAGGCTGAACAAACCAGTGGCAGCTCCCAGACTGCAATTTAAGGATGTCTTGTTCCTAATTCTTTTCCTATTATGCCAGCACACATTGCTAGAAAGGCAGAATATTTATACTTCCAAGAAACATTAGGTATAGCTGTAAATGTTCAGCATGACAGAAAAAAATGGCTTGTATGCTAAAACTGGACATCTTGAAGATAAGGAACATGAAGACAGAGGCTCCTATAAAGATTTTTGTTTAGTATCTTGCCTAAGCCTGCTGAAAAATTCTGTAGAAGTTAGAGAAGTCAGCAGAGTCTTTTCAGGTGGCATTCATCTGCTTTTTTCCAGGAGGCTGCCCTTGCCCTTCACCACTTTTTCCATACTTTCAAATTCCAAAGCAAATAGTTCCTTACCTAATCTGCAGGTGTTCTGATACCATCCATTCTTATAATAATGAAATCTGTGGGAAGAGAACTAGTATGTGGCTGTGTAAAAATCTTTTTGCCACAATGCCTGTAAATAATAAGGCTGAATAGAATACCCTAAATTATCTTAATTTTGCTATTTTGAAGTTTTGCGTGTAAGAGTTCATAATGTATATTTTTTGGTAGAAAATTATCATGATGGTTTCCTAAGGGGGAAGAGGAAAACTTAAACCCTATTACTTACAGATTTTCAGCAAAAAGGTTTGTTAATTAACCCCAAAGGTGTCCTTTGGGACATAGAACTACTATTTCGAGAAATTTCCAGTCTTGCTGCTAATGACATGGTTTACCAGCAGTAGGGAAAACCAGAAAAAACAGTGTATGATAGGAATTGTTAGACAACCTTAATTATATGGATTGCTGATTTGGTTTTCTCTCTTCTTTTTTTTTTTTCCTTTTTTAATCTATGTTTCTTTTTAGAAAGAGAGCGCCTTATTAGGGTATGACAGTGTCTTACTAATACTTGCATCTTGCAAGCCAACTGCATATATATTCCTCTTTAAACACCCATTGCTTCCAGACTGGATTATTCTTTATGCCTCCACAAACATTCTCGTTTCCTCCAAAAGATTTAAATGTTTAAGTTAGAGGATTTTTTTATATATGCGTATGGATTATAAGCAAGCAAGTATGTTTGAATAGCAAGATAGATGGAAATGCAGTTTTTTGCACATTAAAGCACACTTTTTCCAAACACAGCAGCTATTGTAAATGTCCCTGTAGGTCAGTGTGCACTACTGGTATGTTTGCAGCTTCCTGTAAACAGAAAACATTTCCTTTAATAAAAAGGAATTTGTAGTGAACAGACACTTCAGCTATGTATTTTAAACCACTCATTTAACTATTAAAGTATAACATACCACCAGTGTAGTAAAACGCAATACTTGAAAAATTCTAAGGTCAGGATATGAGGGTTTCTTGTAATTTTTGTTCGATGTAAAATATTATCGTACTCTAATTTTGTTAATTCTGTACATAAACAAGTACTCTAGTTTTGCCAGACTTACCGAAAAAATATTACATACAATGGTTATATGTAATACACCACGATGCAGTCATAAATCAGTTAATAAAATGTTAATGCCTTAATTCCTATTAACATGATTTTTCATAAATTGATTCAGTAGAGAAGCACTAAACTGTGGAAATGCCACTCTCTTAAGCAATGTGCATAGTACAGTTATTCACAGTCACTATGAAAGAGAAGACTAAAGCAGTCAGCACTATTTCTGGGTGTCATGAAACAAAAAGTGGCTTTATCCTATTGGAGCTGATCCCAAAGCACATTGCAGATCTTATGACCAGAGAATTAAGGTTAAGAAGTTTGTTCTTGTCAGCTTTAACTCGGGTCAAGGGTATTGTTGGTTAATGTGCTTGGAGTTAAATATTAGCTCTTTATTTCCCTTAGGCAAACTGGAAATATAGTTTATATTTAAATTCTAAGTAGTAATTTTTCATTATTTTTTCTCACATAACAGCTAAAACCTCTGCATTTGTTTTGTTTTGTTCTTTGGTTTTTGTTTTCTTTTAAGGTCGCTTGAGTTATCCACATCCAGGGACTGACAATCTTCTGATGTTAAATGGTAAGTGCTAATCTTGTAACAGCTTCTAATTATCTCTAGCTTAGCTTAAATCTGACATGTTGGTATAAAATTATACTATTATATTCTGTTATTGAATTACTTGCCTCTAGTCTTCAACACTGATGGGATTGTTGCCATTTTTCAGAGTTGAATGGCAAGAGCTAATCTTGCAACAGCCTTTCATTATATCTAGCTTATTTGAAATCTGAAATGCTTGTAACGATGCACTATTCTTTTTTGTTCTCAAGCAAAGCAGTGGTATGTTCTCCAAAGATCTGCTAGAAATCTGTTTTACAGAAACAGGAATTAGAAAAATAAGGCAGCCAGAAAGGCATGTTTTTCTATCTTGTATAAATAAAGGGTGAACTAGATAGTTTCTGTTACACTTATGTGAAATAACTTTTTTTTTTTTTGTTGGGTTTCTGGAACTGGCTTTGTCAAATACATTTCTAACTGTGAAATGTGCTGAAGTTAGAGTTCATGTTCATGTTCCTCTCCCAGTAGGTCAAACTTCATGAACATCTGCTACTCAGTGAAGGCATGAACTTTAGCCTTTGTTCAAGGCTAAAGAAGGAAGCAGAGCTTTGTAATCCATCTAAGTCAATAATAAATCAGGGGTTTTGCACACAAATGTTTTCTACATTGGGAAAAATTAGAGCTATAATGCCACAGCTACTCTAGATCAGAAAATGTGGAAGCTGTTGTACACGAAGCAAGTACATTTTTGTCATTGATTTGATGGGTCTAAGCATTACCAGTAAAGACCTAATTATTAAAAAATACAGTCAGAATAGTTACTTCAGGTTTGTGGTTCTGTGAGCTCTTTTTTTAATTGCCTTACCCTTCTGCGCAGCCATCTACACTTGTGCAAATGGATATAAAATGTAAAACCTATCTAATTTCCCTTGTGTAAGACTGAGTAAATGTTTAAAAATTTAAGGAAAGGTTCAGGTTTAGCTTTATACCCAGTAAAGGAAAATATCGCTCAATGGATATTTGAAGAATTAGGTCCTTTGGCATTGAATAGTTCTTTACGATAATGGAGTATCTTGAAAAGTGAAAATAGCTACTTAACTATTGAAATAAAATTAGTGTTTAGCCCATACAGGCCATAATCCTGATTCCTGTACATTGATTATTGATGTGCTTGATGTTATAACGTTTACAACAGTACACTTTCTGTATTTAACTGTAAGACCTATTCTGCAAGCTGGTTTGTTCAGGTGGTATATGTGCAATTGTCATTATTTGCTGATTTATACTGAAGTGTTAGATGGGAAGGTATTAAAAACCAAGCGATCTTATGAGCAACTGTGAAAAATTTCAATGCAATTAGTGTAAGAAATTAATACAATTCTAATTAATTTGTTTTAGTACTTAAAATGGTGAGCTTCTCTTTTTATGGTTTTGCATACTAAAAGAGCATGTGGGAAGCATTGTTACTCTACGGAATATCTAGGAAAAAAGGTTTTTGCTATTATCATGGACATTGGAAAAATGCATCTCAGTGGTACCAGTCTATCCTGAAAACCTTACCACAGGGCTAGAATATGCGCTGAAAAATAACTCATTTGTTATTAATGCTGGTGGAGTTTCTGCTGTAGTTTGGAAGTTAGCACTTAATGTGACTGCAATAGTATTATTTCCAACTTTCAGTAGGTGAGATAAAAATAACAATTTGAGTATCTAAGACAGGTGCTGCAACACCTAATTTTTAGGTGTGCCCTTTAGAATTTAATTCAGAGCCTTGGTTTAGACACGTAAGCTCTCTACCACATATCTAGAGAGCCTGATGTTCAGAATCACCTCTGGTTGGAGTGTCTGAACTGCAGCTCCTTACAGCTCGAGAAAAGAAGCATTGGGAACAGCTTCTGAGATGCTCTGGCTGCTCAGACTCTGCACCACCTTTCTTTCTTAGCAACAATTGAGGGCCTTCCTCCAAATGTGTGGTAACGTGAATTGCAGCTTGAACACTTGCTGATGAAGTTGTAGACTTTGGTTTCCTTCTCTGCTTAAGCGGATTCAAGCTAACCATTTCCCTCTATCCCTGTAACTGGTGCCTTGGAGGGAGGAATGGGGAAGTGGAGAGTTGGTAATCCAGAGACTCATGTTTGTCCCTTACCTTCTCAGTAAGTGTTGTAGTCGCTACAAGGAGGAGCAGGCATACCAGACCTTCATGAAAGAAAAGCACCAACATTTTTAAGCAGCCTGGGCCCATCTATGTGTGCACTAATACTTGACACTAGATCGTGACCCTCACTGGATTTTAGCTGGCTTGATTTTAGTGGACTGGTATCTCTGGATCCCAGTAAGGTTCTGACATGAACCAGGCTGGAATTCCTCAACCCTTTTAAGACTAAGCACTTCTAGATAAAACTTATTTTTAGCTAGTTTTTCCTCTTCTTAAATCATAGATCTTCTCCAGCTCATTTAAAGTGTACTTACTGAACTGTACCTAATATTAATATTTACAGTTTTCATTATTTAAATTAATGAATTGAACCGAAGGAAAGCTGATTTATGTGTTTTAATAAATTATATATCTAATAATTAAATATCTGTTTCAGCTCAAGCTGTAAAAAAAAAAAAGCAGTGAATTTTTAATGACTGCTATCTCTCAAAAGTCAAAAGAGAGATACTTCAAAATGGGTTTACCTGAGTGCATCTTTAATTGTCGACTTCAAGAGACCCTTTCTGTAGCAAGTAATAATGCAGGAGTCCAGTTTGTTGGGGTATAAGGTGTTTTTTCCCCATTACAGGGTTCCCCTCCTTTTATAGTTTTAATGTATTGAATTTTTTTAATGGCTATTGAAACATAAATCACCATTTGATTAGACCTTCCATCTTAAAGACACTATAGCTGATTGTGCTTCTTAAAAAAGGTGGTTTACTTCAAACAGAAGTTACTAAACTTCTTATACAGGAATTGCTAAATGAGTTTCTGTAGTCTGTTAGGCATGCCAAGCTTGAATGGCCATAATAATCTTTCAGCCATAAAATCTATAAAGATGTGATTTCTAAAGAAATCTCAATAAAATTTAGGCACCCAAATCCAATTGAATAAACTGGGAATTAGGCACCTACCTCCTTTTGTCTAGGCTCTTGGGAAATTTTTGCCATAATTTTTTATGGACTTCTTTAAATGACAAATAAGTATTAATGAAAAAGACTTCATTACTTCACTGTCAGCATTTGATCATTAAATCAGGAATGTCAGTGACAAATAGTACTTTAGCTTACTTTCTGTCATAAATTTCGTAGTTATCTTGAAATATAAGAAGATTGCCTAGTAGTTTTTCCTGTTATACAACATGATATTTCGAATTCAGCTCAGTTATTTAAATATGTACATATTTGATCTCTGGTATATATTTGAAATACATGTCTGAATAGAATAGAAAGTATGCATTTATTGTCTGTGTGATAGCCCTGTTCACATAATGTACAAAGTTATATTTATATTGTCTTGATGTTAGATAAACACGCACAAAAAGTGTATTTACTTCCGTCTCATATTTCTATCTCTGAGCTGATTTAAGTTGCAGAAAGGGGGATATTAATTTTTTTGACAGGTTTAAGCCTTATTAGTATGCAACTTCAGGGATATAGAAACAGAAGTTTTTAACTCAAAGGGAACGTCTTTGTTATATATACAGCACTCTTAATGTTGAAAGGTTCCAACGTTATTGGACTTCATTTTTATTGGGCATCATTATACTTCTTACATGCGTTGCCTAATTTATATTTTCTAGAATAAAAGTATATCTCTTGCACTATCTCACTCCTTTGAAATCTTTCAGAGTTTTTGGCTAAATAAAATATCCAGCTTTATAGACTAAAGGACACAAAAAATATTTCTGTACGACTTACTCTTAGAGCAAGTTCAGGAAGGAAGGATGAAGTTTAATCTCTCCTTTTTCTATTGGTGTAAATCAATTATTTGCCTACAGTGTCTGGCTTTTCCCAAAGTGCTGTCTCCCCTGCAGTTATTTATCTAAACATATGCACTAATTATGTAGATGTATATATTAAATACATCTATATATAAACTATATAGCTAAATCTACACATGCTCTGTAAGCATGAATGCTCTGAAAGGTGTAAAATGTCATGCATTTTTTTTAATAAATACAGAAATATTTCTGATGGAATCAAATATCTTCAGAAAGAATAATCTCATTGCTTACAATGTACTAGAAGACGGATCCAGTGAAACTGTTTTCACAAGTAGTATTTGGCCTTTGAAAGAAAGTTTATGTATCTATCTCTCTCTAATGTGGAGAGATTAAAATACCGAAGTTTCATGATGATAGGCTATGTTTGCTTTAACATCATATTTTTAGTAACAGTACAACTTTGTACTTACTGTTGTTAAATCAACTTACCTATAATGTAACCACTGTGGTCTTAAAGTCTGAATAAGAATTGGAAAAAATAAGGAGTTTTGCAAAACCATACATCTTGATGTTAATGATCACATTTATTGCAGCTGTGCCTACAGACTGTCTAAGAGTGGGATCGCATTTTTCTAGGCACAAAGTGACAGAAAATCCCTGCCCGAACTAGTTTGCAATCTAAATGGACAAGACAGATAAATATCAGGGCCAGAGGTTTGCTGTACAAGTGCAGTAAATAATGTGACAACATCAAATATGGTTATTTTCCCATTTTCTCTGATTTCATTGTTTTGCTGAAGCAAAGAATACACAGATAACTTTGGTACATCATTGCCATTTCCATATATATAAAATACTGCAGCAACAACCCTTTTAAGTTGAATTGCGTTGGGGGGGTTTTAGCATTTTAATAACCCTTTTATGTTTCTCCTTAAAGTCACTGTCATTTATTTTTAAATGCACAAGGAAAAACAGCTCAGGTGTTCTGCAACAAAGTATTTTTATGCATATCAGCTTGCCTCTTAACTATGAAACCACAAGAAAATAGCTGAGCTCGTTTGGTGGGCAGAAAGGAGCAGAAGTGGCAGAAGAGAAGACAAATAA